GAAAAATGCCATATTTAAGTGTGTTCTTTGTAGAGTCTGTGTCAACTTATGTTCACTTAGAAATTTAGCAAAACATGTAATTTGACTAGGGGTATTCAAACTTTTGCATAAGACTAATTTGAAAACTCCTGCTAAAATATCAAAATTTCTGGACAAATAGACCAATAGAAATGCTTCAGAATAAAACTTCGCATAAAATGTTTTTACATAAACTTACATTTTTTTTCTCCTGTAAAGTTTGTTTTTGGAGTTTTGTTCTGACCGCAACAAATTGTAAACCTACAAAGTTCATCTGTATGGTAGATGTACCTGATAAAATCTCCAATGAATAAGTATTTCATGTTGTATGTCTGTTTCTGTATCACTTGTGTCCTGCATTAAAATATAACCTTGAAAAGAGGCCAAATACATATGACCATGTAGTCATTCGAAATGGGTTAAACTATGAAGCTACTATGATTCATTAAATGAAAAAACACTGTAGTCCTGAAATTTAGCAAATAATAATTTCATCTGTCTTCAGATTCCCCTACTTGGATGAGGACGTGGTGAGCTTTCTGAACAGTCTGCCGGTGTGGGAGAAGGCTGACCTGTGTCTGCCCAGGGGAATCGGGGAGAAGCTGCTGTTGAGGCTGGCTGCTGTGGAGCTGGGCCTGGGACCCTCTGCTGTACTGCCCAAAAGAGCCATGCAGTTTGGCTCCCGAATTGCCAAGTTGGAGAACAGCCATGAAAAGGCTTCAGATAAGTGCAAGAGACTGGTGACAAGTTAGTGCAAGCTATTTAAAATGTTTATTCCACAAAAGATGAATCTTGTCTTTATTTTTTTCCCCTGGTGCTGTTTGTCATCAATAATTTTAATCAATAAATCTCTTTAAATCATGTTCAACTACCATGATTGATCAAAAAACACCATTTTCCAACATGTTCTGACCCAAATAAATCCTATATTAAATAAACATCTGGATTTTTAAGTTGCTCTTTGAAGTATTTGTCACATTCAATGTAAGATGGGAGATTTCCCACATCAAACCGTCCTGAGATCCTGTAGACATACACAGGCCTCCTGAAAAATACAGATGGACATGTACATTTGGGTGATGACAGGCACATCATACTGGACATTTTAATTAAAGCAAGAAATTACATGCAAATTACCTTAATATGAGCCATGACAGAAAAGTTCCTGGGGCGTCCCGTTCTTCAATTGGCCCTGCCTGTGTGAGAGTTGATTTTTCCAATTAGGAATAGGTTGTCTAAAAGCTGTTACATGAACTGCCTTCAAAAAATATAGCCTTTGAGTAAAGATCTTTCACTGAATAGATTTAAAAGGCACAGCCTTTTCAGGGAACTGAATGCTAAATGTATTCAGAAAAGGTGACCCTGTAAAAAATTCATCATTTGTTGAGAATTCCCTTGGAAAGTGCAGTACGAGGCTTCCTGTTGAGTTATCAGAAGACTGACTGGTACATTATACATCAATAAAGCAAAACAGCTAAGCTTAAGTTCTGTCAAGAGCATCTGCTACAAATGATAAACCTCCAGTACCTCCTTCTCTTTCAGGAAGGTGTCCAAGAGAGGAAGTGTTGTTCTTGAAAACAAGTAGAAACAGGGACACTGCAAAGAAACACAGTTGAATTAAAAATCTAAAGATTTTTACATCATGTATTAGTGGAGAGAAGTGTTGGTGAAGCAGAGCTGTGCCTGTGAGGTGAGGATGTGTACATACAGCACTGCGTGAGTTTGTCTCTGTTGGAAGGGGTTTCTCTTTCATACACTGCACTCTGAGGTCTGAATCCACCTCCAGGATGCCGTACTTTGACGTTTCTGAGAATGCAAAGGAGTCACCCTATTAGTAATCAGGGGTCATATTTTAGAGCAAATGCAGCAATATTTAAATGTTATATTTTTCCAAGTTAATTTTAATATAAATGAACATGTTTTCTTTGCTGATTTGCAATAACACTTTAAGCTAAACAGTATAATATGTGTAAAAATTGGCAGTATTTGTTACACTGCTACTTTGCCAAAGACCACACCTTTTAGCCCCTTGTTGTGATGTAAGCACTCAAACCTTTCGGGTGTCATATTCAATGGAAAAAAAAAAACTTTGAACGTCTAAGTGTTTCCAGAAAACAAATAATAAAACCAAATGTTGGACAAGCAGTCTTCGTCATGCTCACCCTCATCCCTGCACTGATATGACAACACCAAGTTGCTGTCTACATCCTTCTTCTGCACCTCAGCAAAGCGCTCTGTAAAAGCCCTCAGGCTGAAATCCTCTTTGAACAATGTGTCACTGTAGAAGGACAAAGTGTTGATAATACACTGTATTAAGAGGCAGATAGTAACTAGTTACACTCAGTTGCATGTACTCAAAATATTCATGTATTTCCTTTAAAATACTTTTCTAAACAAAAATGTATTTACATCTGTTCAAATATAATTGCCAAAAGTAACACTTATTATTGAGTTATATTTTAACATTATATTACTAAGATGTACTTAGAAGCTGGGTGTGCTAAGAAGTTCCACTATATAGTTCTACAAGTTACTCAGTACTCGAGTACTTGTTCTCAAGTTGTTCTTTAGTACAGTATTTTTACTGTCATTATCCAATAAAGCAACAATACTTGCACTTAATTGCAGGTTTAGATTATTCTACCCACTTTGATTATATTTAAAGTAAAGATTTTAAATATACCCTCCAATCACTATGATATGATCATCCAATCCGAAGTGCTTGACTGCCAGCTGAAGGCAAGCAACTGCACCAAGCCGCTCCTGTGGAAAGTAACACATTTGAAATATTGAAAGAAATATTGAAATACTGTCTTTTGCCATCAAATGATGCATACAGTCTGTTTTGCCTGAGATTGTGACCCAGCAGTGAACTTCTTACAGTAGATGTACACGCAATTAAAATGAAATAAGTACACTGTTCTGTTAAAAAATATAAAATACAGACAACTTTTCACCACTGTTGATGGTTACCAGTACATCATACAGTCTAATTAGTTTAAATTAGCTTTTATTTCTTGTTAGCTACGTTAGTGTTGTAGTTCCAGTGCAAAACTAAAAGGGCTAATTTTTCACTTAATTAATGTTAATTAATGTTAGCTGATGAACTACATTTAGGATAAAAGGAGAACTCTGTAAATCTGATTTTCAAAACTACCGTTTTAACTGTGTGAGCAAGGAATGGTGGGACATTATGGTCCATGAGCTAGTAAAACACATTTCACATCTGCAGTGGTTTGAACAAGTATGTAGGTCAGTGTTTCCCAATCTAGTCCTCAGGGACCTCCATTGTCTTCTATCTTAGATTCAAGAACAACTGTACCAGTTACACTAACACCAAAAAATGTGTTTTGGGGTG